TGCTTTTTGCTAATTATGAATTTATTTATTTATAATCCTTTGCAATTGAATTTTCTTGGATGTTTAAAGTTGCTGCTTGAATATTTTATTTCAAAAGCAGAATTTAAAATATCCAGCTGTTTTCTTTGTTGCATTTATTATCTGACGACTCAAAGTAAATTTCTCAGTGGGATGGACTCAAATATAAGGTGACATAATATATCTTGACACTGCGTCTTAATCCAGGAGTTTTCACGTTTAATTAATGACTTCCTGGATAAAGTCGGATGAAGGAAGGCGATAATAAAAAGTCTGTTATGTGATATTTCATTTCTGATCAGAATAAATAAAACAATTTTTTTATGTTGTTTTGGATTTATTAGCTATAAATTCTTATGTTACCTACCTATAAGATGTTATAGCTCTTTTATTTCATTTTTAGAATGGATAAATATAGCGGAATAATTGTGCATTTTATGGGAAAAACAATAAATTTTTACCATGGGGTCAAGTTTATATTCAAATTTTATTTACGAGTTGGGTCAAATCCCATGTAAATGTGCTGACATGTGTGTTTACAGTTACACTTTGTAGGACACTACTTTTCGGTCATATTTTCAATCATACTATCTATCTCATTAGTTCTATTTTAAATATTTAGAGTGCCATTTATGGTTAACTAAATAGATAGTTTATTCGTTCACTCGGCTATTTTTTTGTGATTTTATTGGAACATGCCAGGTATGTGACAAATCCTTTTATATCTTGGACATCCCTTAAGTTTTTAATTATTTCTCCAGCCTATCTCAATCTGCAACCTCCTCTGGTGATGCCAGTGCCTGTATTGTGTACCAAATCATAGTATAGGCGTATAGGAGCCCCTTGTTTAGGGTGAGTCATGTACTTTTGTGTCTTATTATAAGCTTAATCAGTAGACAAGTTTTTGTCCAGTTCACCTTTCTTTTAATAAAAAAAAACCATCAGTAATTTATTTTTCTGATCGGGTCCCACTCCTTCATCTCGGCCTAGAATTAGTCCCAGTCACTAAAGAGGCATGCTCCCGTAAACTTCATGTTCCCTTACTTCTGAGGTCACTTTCATGGTCCCTGGTAGATAGTGCCTATCGTCCTTGATGTTACCTCGACTTGGAATTACTGATCACAGGCTTCTTAACGTTTAAATTTTACCTTTTATATTTTATATGACATTGAGCATTACCTGATTGGAATGTTTCATTTTCATGTTCAGTTCGCTGTTCGGCTGAGCATGTGAATTTTCAAAGCAGAAGACTCAACGAAGTCGTTTTATATTTCTTATTGAGCATTACCTAAATGGAATGACTCATTTCTGTGTTCAGTTCGCTGTTCGGTAGAGCATATGAATTTTCAGAGCAGATAGACCCAACCAGGTCATTTAATATTGTATATTTTTTATTGAGCATTGCCTAATAAATGGAATGACTCATTTCTATGTTCAATTGGCTGTCCGGTTGAGCATATGAGTTTTAAGGGCTGATAGACCAGTAGAGAGGGTCCCAATTTAAATAAAATGATCGATCATTATTATTATTTTACACAATAATATTTAGTTAGCGGTAGTACTGGGTTGGAATCAAATTATTCTTACATTTATGATTCTCATTGAATTGACATACTAAATTTTGTAATTTTTCATTAAACTTTTATTAAACATAATCAAGTGGAGAGCCTTGCTGTATTATTTATTTTTATACATAATATTTGAGATTCAATATTGAGGTCTATTTCGAGGTTTGAGACCTTATAAATAAAAACTTCGTGGCGACTGGCGCCTTCAGTGAACTCTCCTTAAACACGACCAGAAATGCTTTCCGATGAACAGCTGCTGTAAGCAATAACATCTTTTTAATCCAAAGTAATTTAAAACGTTAGAGGTCGTTTCCGTAATCAGTATACCGAAGAGAAGCTCCCAGAGACACAGTGTGGCTTTAGACCGAACCGAGCTACAGATGACATGATTTTTACTACAAGAGAAATCCAGGGAACAAAATCGTCCTCTATACATGGGCTTCATAGATTTAGAGAGAAGCTCTTGGGAAGATATTGGCAGAGGTTGGGTGTCCGCAAAAGTATATCCAGATACATCCTTTCCAAATAACTACAGCCATGCCTATAAGAAGGATTCTACAGATCAAATCGCAAGACCAATGAACGAATATTAGTGTTTTGGAGGAGGACAAAACAACTAGCCAAATTATCGGCCCTCATGGCGTCGAGTAGTACACGACGGACCACAAGAAATGACACCGAAAAGAGGGACCGGCAGGAAGGAACGAGAGAACAGAGGAAGAGACAATGCTGCCAGAAACTGGATATGCCAAGCAAGACTGTGGAAGAGTATGCAGCTCCAGAATTGGCTTATATACTCATCAGAAAACGCACAATCGACGACATTAAGAATAGAATAGGAGATAATCATAATCGGTAGTGATTGCCTATAATGATGATAATGGAAAATCATTAGACATTTGATGTGAAATACGTCAAGACAAAGTATAATATACCTAAATATATAAACCTGAATCCAAAATTAAAAAAATAAAAAAATAAATTGACAATATCTCGAACTCTATAATGAATAGCCGGATTTGAACAGCACATACCCCCCACACTGACATTATCAGGTACTCTTCAGATGTGACAGTGAAATATGTTTTCAATACACTATCCAGTTCATATTATTCATCTCGGACATTTTCATTTCCGGATATCTGAACTATTGTCAACTAAACCATCTCAATTTATTAATAGATGCCAACTTTATCGTGCTATTATTCATGACAGCGATTGTAATAACTTTGACCATTCAAAACTATTGAAGCACAGTTAATTACTAGCCGCTACACCAAAAATAAAAACACAGATTTTAGCTCAGCCAAGATTATTTTCATCAACTGGATATAAGGCCCGACAAATTTCAGTTTACAGGATCCAGTGATAGAGCTTTACTGATCATCTATAGGGCCTTAGATAATCAAAAATAACTACTTATCCTCGATGCACTCGTTCAGCATTTTTGTAAATAAAATTAATGCTGCACCATCATTATTTAAACAGTGTAAACCCCAATGTTTTATGTCCAGCAATATCCTGGTAACTTCGAAGCTATAAAATAAATAACCTGTTGTTAGCCTGGAAAAAGAAACTTTCTCGATATATTTTGCTTAGCAATATTGATGCTGAAATAAGGGCCTTATGAGGGTTTCCTTTTCACTCTCTTTTCTTTTGGCAGCTTCGTATCTTTTTAAATCGTTGCATAATCTATTCACAAATCCACTAGTACACACGGCATAAAAAATGGCGAAATAAAAAAACAGAAGCTTTTTGTATCGGAGGTTTTTGTTAGATTTAGTACCGGATTTCTTTTAAAAAGCTTCTCTGTCCATTGAAGCTTATCCTTTTTTTCCTCGTGGTAACTATTTACTAGATAATCCTGGAATATGAGCGCTTTCCTTCAGTTTTTGTTAATTAGTTCACATCTAAACCACTCCAGCTACCTCAATCTCATGTTTATTCAATTGTGCATCGCCACATAAATACCGAGGCATAAAGATAATATGCAAATTGAATGTTATTTACCCAAAACAGGCTTTATTCGCTCGAAATCCATTAAAATCTCCCGCGTCGACCTAAATAATTCTTGCCAGATTTCGGTACGTGACGTTTCTCTAGAAAATGGCAAATCCACGCCAAACCTAACAAAAATTATTGCTATCCAAACAGCTTAGCGCAACTTTAATTTAAGGCTTCATTAGTCCAGAAAAGTAACAAGTGAATAATTTTGTTTTCTCGTTGGGCAATTTCTCCATAATTAATTTTCAACGCGTCAAAATACATAGTTAAACTTATTTCGTCTAGTTTAATTAATATCATGGTGAACTCTAATTTGAAATGACGTTTCTAGTTGAATTTCAAAAACTACCTACTGCTAAGCAACACAATCCAATCAGCAATATCATTTTCGTCTTAGTATCCACCTGACGCCAGTCAAATTAAGTTTAATATTACTACTCTCCGTTACGGACGTTTTGAATATTCTGAATTCCCAGATGCTACAGTGATGCCGGAAATTTAAAACAAAAAATGGTTCAAAAATTGTTTAATAATAGTTTTTTTTTTCTTCCAAAATTTCATTTAACATATTTTAATTGAAAAAAAAATCCTGTGCAGTTCACACCCGGTAGAAGTGAAACCTTCATCGAACTGCATGCATTACACACATACTAACATACACAGTGGCGTCCCCCCCCCCCCCTCCAAGACTTGAGAAAGAACGCAATAAATATAGTTTAAAAAAACTAAAATACACGCTGGGGTGCTTTGTTCCACATTCCTCATATATTGAGCACCCCACGCTTTTTTGACAATAATTCTAATATTTTTTGTTCATTAATATTTTCTGTATATATTAAAAATTATTTTTCACTTTTTAGTTCAATTTACTATAAAAGCGTGTTTTTTAGTTTTTTTTAAATATATTTATTTTTCACTTTTTAGTTCGAAGTACATATTATAAAAACGTGTCAGCCCCAGAGATTTCCAGACTTTTCCAGACATTATCCAGACTTATTCAGAGCTTTCCAGAGTTTTCCAGGTTTCATCCAGATTTATCCAGACTTGTACAGACTGATCCGGATTCTGGAAAATGATCCCCAGGTCTTTTGGGACCTTTTCCAGAATTTTTCCGCCCCTTTCAAGAAAATTTCAGGCCTTTTCCAGACGTTTCCAGAGTTTTCCAGACATTAATTAAAAATTCAACATGGCCGACCATGATGGTCTTTGAGTTGTCTAAGAGTATTTTTGAGTGGCTCATACCCACAATTAACGTGAGAGTCAGTGTAACTAGTCACTAGCATAGTTTTGTGCTTATGAATTACGTAAAATAACTGTGCTTATTGTCGAATTCCTCGAGTTTTGGGATTGTTTAGAAACAAGTGTTTTCGCAGTGTTGTCAGTGCATCTTGTCAGAAATTCTTGAGAATTATGGATGAGCTGCATTGTGGATTTTGCACCCAGATATGTTTTTTCCGGGAAAGCAAGACTCAAGTGTTTGGATGTTTATGCGATAATTGCCAGAAAGTCTCTTGTAGGGATTGTAGCAAAATATCCTCACAGGAGGTAAGGTGTGCAATTGCTGAAACAAGAACCGTCCTGATATGGTGCAGGGATTGCATTGAGAAATTTTCTGAATTCAATAGTGCCGATAAGAATTTAAATAAGGTTAATTCCGAGGTCTCTGCGAACTACACACAATTGCTAGCTAGTACTAATGAAGTAACCAAACGCCTACTTAATGAGACCCTAGAGGAGGTGGAAGGACGTCTAATTGAGAAGTTTGACGCCATGTTCAAAGTTGTGTTGGAGAGCAATAAGGAGCTGGTGCGATTTTTGCTGGAAAAGCAAAAAAAAGAACGCAACTTACTGGAGGCCGGGGTGGACGTCGCAGCGCCGCCTTTTCCCCCATCACAAGACAAAGTTCGAACAAGACAGACCAATGTTGCCAAATTTTCCTCTTCTTCTTTTCCTGCGCCAGTGGATCTGCAAGTAGAACAGCAGCAAATCGAGCAGGAGCAGGAAGTGCAGGCACGATTGAGAACTGAAAGCGCTCTTCGACAGGTGAGAGAGGAGGGAGATGAAGAGGATATAAACAAAAACAAGGAATCAGCTGAGACTGAATTTACTTTGGTGCAAAATCGAAAAAGAAGGAACGGTAAAAGCAACCAAAGTTTTGTTTTTGGACAGGCAAATTTTTCAGGGAATGAGAATTTTTCAGACTCAATTCAGGGGGCTTATTTTTATCTCGGTCGCGTTAAAATGGGTGTAACACCTAATTTTATTGAACAGCATGTTAAAAAGCAATGTCCAGATGTTAGGGACCTTAAGGTTGTACCTTTGCCAATTAAAGGGGAAACTATCTCTTTCCAGATAAGCATCCACTCGGATTGCAAGGAAAGTTTTTCACGACCTGATATCTGGCCAAAAGGCGTTGTTTTAAGAAAATTCTGGTGGAGCAATGTACGCAAGTCCGAGAATTTTCGACGGGATCAAATGAATCAGGCCGGTGTATAGCTGGGAATGGTGGTCACACTGATATTCTGATCTATTACAATAATGCTGGTGGTCTTAGAACTAAACTTAGTGAGGTTCGGAAGGGTATTGAATGTTGTCACTATGATGATGCTTGCGGAATCATGGTTAACGGAACATATATATATGATACAGAGCTCTGTCCAGGGCAGTTTGATTTGTTTCGTACTGATCGTTCATCAACTGGGGATCCCAGAACTCGGGGGGGAGGAGTTCTGATTGCTGCCAGGAAGGATTTGCAATGCCAAAGACTAAACATTGATGTTATGACTGTTGAACAGGTTTATGTATATTTTAAAATTAAGTCATCTGAATTTGTATTGGGCTGTATCTACCTGCCACCTAGGTCTGATGTAGGCTTGTTTGTTGATGTTTGTCAATCAATCGAATCAATTTTTAATTTATATCCTAAATGTAAGTTATTGCTGGCTGGCGATTTTAATTTACCACAGGTTAAATGGGTTAATAATGAGTTTGGTCTAACCAGTGAGTGTGCGGGCAATTCTCCAGCTAATGATTTAATAGAGTGTCTAAATTATTACAATTTTCGTCAGATAAACACCATCACGAATAGCAGGAATGCTTTGCTTGACTTGGTGTTTTCAAACTTGGGTACTGTTGAGATTGACAGAGCCACCGATATGATTTTGAGTAATAGTGTTCACCATACTGCTATATCTATGGGATTCAGCCATAATGTAGAATGCAAACGTTCTAAATATGAGGAGTGCTTCTTTGATTTTAAAAGTGGCAATTACATTTCATTGAATGAATATTTGGCTAGTGTGAATTGGTGTTTGATGAATGATTTGACCCTTGAGCAGGCTGTTCTATGGTTTTATGAAACATTGTGGGAGGGGATAACTTTATATGTTCCAGTAAAGAAATTCCGAACTTCGAACTTTCCTTTGTGGTTCAACACTGAGCTGCGTAGATTGATTGTTGAAAAGAAGAAGCTACACAAAAAATATAGAGAAACGGGAGATAACTTGGATTATTTGTTGTTCTCTGAAGTGAGGGATAGGTGCAAGGATTTAAGGGACTCCTCTTATAGAATGTACCTGCTCAAAACTGAAAATAACATCAATAGGAATCCTAGATCATTTTGGTCACATTTCAACAATCTCAAAAATAACTTTGTCCTTCCCTGTAACATGAGTTATAATGGCTCTACTGGCTGTAGTAATCAAGAAACCGTAGACTTGTTTGCAGACTTCTTTTCAAGTGTGTACTCGAGCCGCACCACTAACCAGGCTCCAGAATACTCATTCTCCAACGTCACTGATGTTTCTGCATACTCTGTTTCTTGTGCTGATATAATAGAACAAGTAAGAAATTCACCTGATAAGTTGTCATGTGGGCCGGATAGAATTCCCTTGCTCTTTATAAAGAAATGCCTGTATACCCTTGCGACGCCCCTGGCAAGTCTCTTCAACCATTCATTGTCAACAGGTTCTTACCCGGTTTTGTGGAAGTTCAGCTTTCTGAAACCAATATTTAAAAGTGGGTCAAGAGAAGAGGTCACGAATTACAGGGCTGTTTGCACGCAGTCTGAGATTCCTAAGTTGCTAGATTGTCTCATTACCAGGAAACTTAGCTGGGACTGCAGGTACCATTTAAATCCGGAACAGCATGGGTTTACGGTGGGTAGGTCAACATCAACAAATTTGGTTTTGTATCAGAATTTAATTTTGAACAGCATGGAGAGGGGATTCCAAGTCGATTCTGTATACTCGGACTTCTCTAAAGCCTTTGACAGGGTTAACCATCGCCTGCTCATTAGGAAGCTTGGTTGTTTGGGGCTGAGAGGTTCAATTCTGAGTTGGTTTGATGACTTTCTTGTTGGGAGAACACAGGCAGTAAGGTATGGCGGTGTTGTGTCTCGGGTCTTTGATGTTCCTTCTGGAGTTCCTCAGGGGTCTCACTGTGGACCAGTCTTGTTCAATCTGTTCATATCTGATGTGGGTAGGTCTGTTGCCCACAGCTCATTTTTGTCATTTGCAGATGACCTTAAACTTTATCGTCAGGTATCATCATTGGAAGACTCACAACTGCTGCAATATGATATCAATTCTTTTGACAAATGGTGTGGCTTGAACGAAATGGACCTCAATATCGCCAAATGTTATAGGATAACTTTTTCCAGGTTGGCCCAGTCGGTGAATTTCCCTTACACAATTAATAACACATCAATCAGGGAAGTAGCGAGCATTCGAGATTTGGGTGTGGAATTTGATTCCAAGATGTCATTTAATGGCCATGTTACCAATACTGTATCAAGGGCTGTTAGATGTTTCGGCTTTATATGTAGGTCCACTACTGATATGTCAGTGAGTACATTGCGAACACTGTACTGTGCGATGGTCCGATCCTTGTTGGAATACTCATCAGTTGTTTGGTCACCCCAATATGCTGTTCACATTGCAGCTCTGGAAAGGGTTCAGAATAGATTTCTAAGGGTGGCTGCTTACAGGTTGGGCTTGGCTCATGATAAGTATACTTATGATGAGATGAGGGCTATCTTGAATGTTCATACCTTGAAAAGCAGGAGACTTCAGGCGGATCTTTCCTTTCTTTACAGACTTTTGAGAGGATTAATTGACTGCCCGGATCTTTTGGGTCTCGTTTCTTTGAGAGCAGGAGAAAGAAGGGTGAGAGGTTCTGACCTGTTTTATGTACCATTCCATAATACTAATTATGGTATGAATGAGTCGATCTCAAGGGTGCTCAGGTTTGCCAACTCCAGGAGCCGGAGTATTGACATCTTTGGTTGTCCTTCTGTTGCTGCCTTTAAGAGGAGATTGCAACCGCTGCTTGCTGGTTAGTTTTTTAAAAATGAGTCGTATGTTTTTTGGTTAGGTATTAACTTGGGGAAGAACAGGATGTGATTGTTAGTGCTTAGATTTAGTTATTGTCAAACTATTTATTGTAAATTGTTTTACGATTGTTTTTGTAAATTGGCCTTGCCGTTAATAAATAAATAAATAAATTATCCAGACTTATCCAGAGCTTTCCAGAATTTTCCAGACATCCAGATTAATCCAGACTTTATCCAGACTTGTTCAGGCTGATCCGAATTCTGAAAAATGATCCCCAGGTCTTTTGGGACCTTTTTCAGAATTTTTCCAACCCTTTCCAGAAATTTCCAAGTCTTTTCCAGACGTTTACAGAGATTTCCAGACTTTTCCAGACAATATCCAGACTTATCCAGAGTTTCACAGACTTTATCTAGATTTATCCAGACCTTATCCAGACTTGTACAGACTGATCCGGATTCTGGAAAATGATCCCCAGGTCTTTTGGGACCTTTGGCAGAATTTTTCCGACCCTTTCTAGAAATTTCCAGGCTCTTTCCAGAGATTTCCAGACTTCATCCAGATTTATCCAGACATTTTCCAGACTTGTTCCAGCTCACTTGGCTTGTTCCAGGTTCTTGTTGTGTGTTAATATAAGCGTGTTAATAAAGTGTTGCTTTTTCGTTTCGTTTCATTGGGTCGCTTTTTCGTTTCGTTTCATTGGGTCGCTATTTCGTTTCATCGAGTCTCAAATCACTCCCAACGATTCTAAAGAAGTTTTCACTTCAAAAAGAAGATGAAGGGGTCAAGGGAGTTACTTAAAATACAAGTAATTGAAAAAAGTCTGAATTCCCTTTTTGTTTAACGAGAATATATTTTTGATTGAAGCAGGTAATCATTTTTTGGTTTCAGATTTATTACATAATAGGTTAGTGTGGTTCTGCTCTATAAGACAATGGAGAGAACCAGGATTCTCAATCCTTGAATGCTGTGGTAATCGCATACCGGTTTCGAGCTTATGTAGGGTAACTTAGTTCTGCATCCTCCGAAAACGCGTCATCATCCCGGCAACGCGTCGTTGCGATTCATGGTCCCAAAAACGCGTCAACGTCCTTGACCTACCTTAACGTCAGGTAATAATATAAAATTAAAATGGGGATGCAGAACTGTCTAACCTACCCTACTATAATAGGCCTGTTCGCACAGTAATCACAAACCAGTCAGAGCGAATTTCATTGGTTGAAAACAGTCAAAAACAGTCAAAAACAGTCAGAAAACTAGTTTCAACCAATGAAATTCACTCTGACTGATTTGTGATCTCTGCAGAAACAGACCTATTATTAGCTCTCGTCAGTGCAATATAAGCGAAAGCATACCAATTCAGGGAAGCAGATTTATAGGAGATGCCAGCGATAATATAGGAATAAACCTATTATAGTATGTGGCCTCATTTCTTCGAAGTCTTACAAAGCAAAAACCAATATGGGTATGTGAAAGTAGAATTTTGAATTTAAAAAAAAAATCCGACTCAAAAAGTTCTTGACAGTGTGAAGTTTATCTGCAAAGTGATGGAGTTATACGCTATAATAAGTTTATACCTCTGAGTTGGCGTCTTTTCGCTTATATTGCTCCGATGAGAGCTAATAAGCTCGAGACTGTTATGCAATTAGCGCCAGTACCCAATGAATGAGAATCGTACGTAATGTGTAATCTGGCTGTGATCAGAACAATACAAGCATAAAAGCTCATCGTATCAGCGGTATGTGTTTGGAGCTTCGGTTTACCACTTGTTGTTTGCCGAAGATAAGTTTTCACTTCGTTGTTTCAA